TGGACTAGGTATTCTGCCTTATGCACCTGCACGCATGCGCTTACACTAACACAGAGTCCAAAAAATTTGCACACCAGGAAACTGCTGTCTTAATATAGAACTGCTTTATGTTGCAAGTCTGCACCTAAAAAGCAAATAAACATGCCAGGCATCTATTTTAGGACAGAAAGCTGAATCTTAATTAGATGAGCTGCTTTGAACGTGGATACCTGAAACGGTTGTTATCATCATTACCTCTATTAGATGCCCCAGCTCCAAGCCCTGTGGTGTCTAATGGTGGAGGATGTGTTCCAGACAGTAATGAGAGCCCAGTGGTGTCTAACGCAGCCCTTGCACACTCTGCCCTGGATCTCTTCAGCTCCCTTGCAGCCCCCTCCCCTGCTTCCTCTACAAAAAGCACGGTAGTAGACAACACACTGTACATGCTATAAGCTGCTGAGTTTTTATTTGCGTACATTCAGACAGACTTTCATCTTTGCCTTGTGTCTGTCCAGTCTGTTTCCAGCACCATGCCTCAGAGCAGAGTGACTGCCTCAGTGCCTGAGAATCTGAGCTTGTTCTTAGACGCAGCACCCAAAGCAGAGGAGGGCACTGTCAAGAAACTATCCAAGGACTCCATTCTTTCCCTGTACGCCTCCACTCCCTCGGTACATGCCAGCAGTATGGCTGCACATGGTAAGAGTTTATAAGATTTCTGTCAGATGTGGTCCAGATCTGGATGTTGACACGGTGATAGTCTGCTCATCGTTATTGGTGTCTGTGATTGCTCTCAGCAGGCTTGTACATGAACCAAATGGGATATCCAACACACCCGTATGGTCCATACCATTCTTTAGCCCAGGCGGGGGGAATGGGAGGCACTATGATGACATCACAGATGGCCATGATGGGGCAGCAACAGAGCGGGGTGATGGCAGTGCCACAAAACAGCATGATTGGAATTCAGCAGAACTGCATGATGGGGCAGCAGAATGGCTTAATGGGCGCTCAGGGTGTCACGGCTCAGCCTAGCGGCGTTGTGCCGTCGCCCTACATGACAGGAATGATGGGACAGCAGCAAACTGGAATGATGGTACAGCAGCAGAACAGCATTATAGGACAGCAACAAAGTGGGATGATGGGGCAGCAGCAGCAGGTTGGGGGTTTGCCCGCATTACCCCAGCAGCAGACTTACGGAGTCCAGCAAGCCCAGCAGCTACAGTGGAACATCAGTCAGGTGTGTGTTTGTTTTTTGGGGTTTTGAAAGTTGTGAGAGGAGTGGATCCGTTGCTAAAGTTCATTTTGTGCCCTTCAGATGACTCAGCACATGGCCGGCATGAATCTTTACAACACCAGCGGTATGATGGGATACAGTGATCAACAAATGGGAGGTTCAGCAGCTCCAAGTTCGGCACACATGACAGCGCACGTGTGGAAATGAGCTTGTCTATCTGAGATTCGATGGAGCGCCAACGACCCACAAAAGGAGAAGAGAAACGACGTGGATCAGACTCTCCATTAAACATTTTCTGATGCAAGGGAGGAGGAGGAGGAGACTGAGGTGGAGAAGAAGAAGAAGGTTTGAGAAACCACTACTACCTCTCTCTCTCCTCTCTGGCCGCGCTTCCTCTTGCCGTCTCATGCATAGCCATGTTCTGCAGATTTCCATGTTTGCCTTCAGGACCTTTTCATATGACGACTACGACAAGGCGGTTCTGAGGCCACTGGTTAGGACTCCAGAGCTTTCTTTCTGCCCAGCCTTTATGAGAGAGAGCTTGTGTGCAGGAACATTATGAGGGTATCAAGCAGCTGCAGAATTGCACTGTTTCATATTTAATCAGATGGCACTGGGGTTGGCATTGGGGTTAGCCTAGCTTTAAAAGCTCAAATAGACCAAGATATATAATCTGGCAACCTAAATAGGTGGCTCATACTTTACGCCCTACATTACCAGTATTTACCCAACTGATGGGGCGACATTTAGTGATGATATATACAGTGGCCCTGAGAGGTCAAACACACTGCTGCCTAATAAAACACCAGCAAAAATGAAAAATGGTGCAAAAGCACACAAAAAATAATTGAAGTTCAATAAAACCCAATGGAAATGGAAAGAAAAACACTGGAGAAGCTAACAGAAAAAAACCAAACAAAACACAACAAAAATGTTTTTGGCTAACAGCTAACAGTAAACGGCTAACAGCAACCATGTACCTACAGTGTCCATTGTGTTTTGTCAGAATTTTTTTTTCTATGTCCGTTATGTTTTAATCAACTTCTGTGGTGCTTTTGCAAAATTTTAATGTTTTGCTGGTGTTTTCTACAGTTGCAGTGCATGTGACCTCTCAGGGCCACCGTAGACATAGCTACATTTTAACAGCAGCCATATTTGCAAAGTGTAGCAGCTACAACTTTATTCAGCCAATTTCAAGTTCGAGATTTAGAGCTTTTCAAAAGTATATTTTCACATAAGTGAGATGAGCTGCTGCTAATTCACTTAATAATCATTAAAAAATATAAAAGCTAGGCTAGCCTAATAGTCCCTTCATGCTGCATGCAGAAGACAAATACGCATAACCATTTTTAGCCACATATATCTAGAAATTCTACTCATCTAACAATATTTAATTCAAGCAACAAATCCTACCTACACAGCCCGTAATATTGATGTCTTCACTGAATATCTAGAGGGCTTCTTTTAGAATCTTTAATCTTCAAATGTCAAAAGTCCAAAACCATATTTTGGGAGACCAAAGATCAACACTAGCTTTACTGTAAGTGGACAGTATTCCTGTATGCTTTTTCCTGTTCAACCACTTAACTAGTGATTAATAGGAAAAAAAACAGCAATTCAGCAGTCCAGCATCACTGTCTTCACTGTGCTGTTCTTTCACCAAGGATAGGACACTAAAAAAAAAAAAAAAAAGAAGAAGAAAGAAATAATTTTGCATGCAGTGTCATCAGCGCCCGCACACCTCCAGTTAAGAATCTACCTGGTGCATTAGTGGCCTCAAATAACGTTGAATGTCTGTAAATAGGAGGTGAACAGAGAAGTGGGAGTAGAGACGGAAAACTTCAAGGTGAAAGTCAGCCGGGTTTCAGATGCTTCCACTGAATTGCATGAAAAGAATGTGTATCTAGCTCTGATTGTATGTACTGTACTGTATGTTTGTTAAGATTTGCGAATGTGTCTCTCTGAATGTTTCTCCCTCTGACAAAGTCTTTGATAAAGACTGACAAAAAAACAATTAAAAAAAATGGGTAAAACATGTGCTCTGAATGTGATCTCGGTTGACTCGTTTGATCGCGCGCACTTGTGTTTCGATGTGTTTTTGTTTTTTATATATTCCTCGTCTAGAAGCGTGCACCTTGTGTCTCTCGAACGTCTGTGCTCGATGGCATCCTGTGGGTTTCCAGTTTTGCTGTAACGGCCTCACCTTTACGTTGGGGGCAAACAGTGAGCTGTTGTTTTGTTTTTTTCTTTTTGAGAGGGGATGAGAGTATTCAACAAGCTGGCCAAACCACATCGTGAAGCATAAAGCGATTGTACATCCGCAATCTGTCACATCTGTTTTAGCTGATGCTTGTACGCTTCTCCCACACAAACCATCTCTGTGCCCCGATTTCTCTTAAAAGTGTTGCTAAATCTGCCTTTTCTGATGAATGCTTATGGAAATGCTGTGTTTCTGTTATTTTAATTTTATTTGACACTTGTGTTAAGCTGGTAAGATGCTGCTTTTAATGTGAGTGGCAGCAATATAGGTGCCTATGTGCAGCATATAAGGACTTATTTCACAACAGTGTGACAGCAGCAGTCACCTTCTCCACTGAGAGCAACATTTATATAAGAGAGAGCACATCCAGCACAGCAACAGCAAATCTGTCAGTCAACAAAAGCTTCTGGAAAGGCAATGCAAGTCCACCTCTGTGGACGCTAAGGCCTCACCTGAGCTTTTCCATTTGTGATCAGGCTACTTTTTTGTTTTTGTTTTTTTTGGTCCAATATTTTTTCAGTGAAATAAAAACGAATAAAGGAATGTAACTTTGTACGTACTTGTCGATCAAGATACTGTATATTTTAATTCTTTATCAGAATATCGCTGTATATTATGTTTCTTAAACAACATGTTCTGTATATTAGTTTTTCTTTTCCACATGCTTTGCCCCACTTTACACAATTTCAATAAAATTTAACAATGTATATGTGACATATGATAATTGTCCCCGTGAAAACATGCAAATAAATATTGTTTTCGTTAAATTTTATGTTGTTTTGTTTGTTGTGTTCATTGCTGGGCTGGTCTTTAGTCCCTTTTCGTTATTTCTTACACTATTAAGCCACGCAAATGCCTGATCACACGATTCTTCTGCATGAATTGTTTGCATTCTGCAGAAAATTGCCTATTCTGCTTGACTGCTGTCAACAAAAAAAGGAGTGGCTGCACAGATGTTTAATACTACTGTGGAAGTTTGTAATTTTTTTCTGGCCTCATGTACAGGTCACGAAGCTCGAGGTAGTTTGAGTATAGACACATTAATGTTGCTCTGCATGTGCATGACTTAAACAGTAGTAAATGGTTTCCTTGTAGGCTCTCAAAATCAACTAAAAGTGCAACTGTGTAATACTATAAAGCTTGTTTCTACTGCCCACTAGTGGCCATACATGTTCATGTGTGGCTGACTCATATGCTTTGTTGTGTGGCCTACTTCTTTGTCCATTTTAATCTAACTGAGATCATAATTTATAAAAATTAGCATCTTGTTGTATTAAAAATGTGTGAAAGCAGCAACTGAGGCCATATAACCAAGAGAAAGGTGTTTGCTGAGGTCATTAATGGTGGTTTTTTTCCTCATAGACTTTTATACGTTTGACTTCTTTTTCCATAGGGAGGAGGTGCCCCCTGGTGGCCATCGGAAAGAATGCAGCTCTTCTTTTACGTGACTTGAACAAAGATCCATCAAAGATACACAAAGAATGCACGACCTGCATTAGAAAAGTGAAGACACGGAGAATGAATGTCTGTGATTCAAATAAACTTTATTGACTTTGCGTCCAGATGTCAAAGGGCATGCAAATACAGGCTTCTGAATCCCATTGTTTTTTTTCCTTTTCTCCTCAGTTTGGTTCTATTTTCTTACAAAACTACGTGCACCTTAAGTAATCAATTTTGCAGCGTACAAACCACAAAAATACCAGTTTTACATTATCAAATACTGCACATAGAAAACATTTACAAAGCACAGGTATAAAATTACAGCTCCCTTTGTTTTGTTTTGTTTTTTCCTTCATCTTTGCCATAAACCACATCCTTTCATCAGCCAGGCAGCTACGCTATCCTTTGTTTTGCTTCTTGGTGGAACGTTTAAGGCCTGTTCAGAAAAGACAAACCCTCATTTACCAAAACAGCTATTCCAATTGAACTGGGATGATGAATCCGTAATTTGCAGGGAAAAAGAGGCATCGAGTCTACTACATGTGCTTTGGGAATGTGATTGTGGTCCATTTAAATATTAGTTAAACCATTAGTTTGGGTTGTGTTCTGTGCTTTCCTAGGCTTGATAAGATAAGGTTTGCCTTGATAGCAGGGAGGGGAGCTACTATGGCCCTAATACAATCTGACAGACGGCGAAAAAGGACAGAAAGGTTACAAAGCAAAACTTGTGCTGTGATCGCTGACATAGACGTGGATGAAGACAAACGAACTGAGGCCGTCAGGTCAACGGCAATGTCTGTGTTTGTTCTCATGGACAGCTGTAACGCTGGCAAATCAAACACCTGGAATGCATGCGTCTGGAATGCAACGTCGAAGAGAAAATTAAACTTGTTGATCACGAGCTCTACTGTCATACAGCAGTAAATCACAATGCACTGCATGCTTTGTTAAATTTATCCCAGCGCTTAAATTTGTGGTTACACTTTTATCTTATTTATGGTAGCTCAGCTGATACCAGTGTTGTGCCAAAATCCAGAAAGTGATATCTGATGTTTCCATGAGTTTCTTTGATGTCTAATATCTTTACTCATATCGGTAAATAGACTGTAGATGTATGAAGGGGTCAAATATGAATAAAGAAATAACTGTTTTTTCATTGCCTTTTGGTCCCTTATAGTGTGTTTCAAGAACTGTGATGTTATATTTGACGCCCTCTCGGCCAGATCTCTTGAAAAATACATTTTTAATGTCAATGAGACTTTTTACCCGAATATATAAAGGAAATATAACAGTCACTTTGCCAAAAAACCTGATTCAAGCTTCTACCTTGTGAAGGGGAACTTCTTTCTGGCTCAAAATGACTTGATATCATTCATGAGAAATAAGTCCGATATATTTTTCACACAAATTAGGCTAATCACTTTTTGGGCGAATACCGGAAATCACTTTCTGGCGCCACATGCTCAGCTCTGGGGTCACGAGAGAGAGAGAGAGAGAGAGAGAGTGAAGCCGTGGGCGAAGGCGCCCACGACAGCAAATGCTACAGCCAATGTTTATTGCCAGAAGAAAAACATCATAAAATGTAAGGCTTGGCTCATGCTACTGCAAGATAACAGTGTTTTTAATCATAAAAGTTCTTTTGCATCTCTCTGGATGCTGTTCTGGGTCTGATCGCCCCCACCGCTGTCGCTTGTTGGTCTCATCGTGATCAAACCATCATTAAAGGTTAAATACAAGGTCAGAAATGCAAAGATCAGAGTAACCATGCGGCAAATATTTCCTAGATCAAAATACAAATATAATAATTCCATCAGCTTGATAGACAAAGGGTTGGGGGCGGGGGGAGGGCAAACCCTTCTGCTCAAAACCCATCTTGGCGATTGAAATAAATAAAATAACCGCATCTCGCCAGACGGAATTCATGCTTGTTTACAAACACAGAGCTGTTCCTTTAAAACACAAATCATAAGACATACAGTATTACAGTACAGTAAAAGTAGGGGCCGCCTGATTGGGTGCAGGCGGGGTCCCCGGAAAGTCTCCAGAAGAGACAGTATAGCAAACAAGATGACGAAAAAGAGTTACACTCCTCCTCGGTGTTAGGGTTTAGAAATACATTCATAAAACTATACATATACACATAGAGAACTTCGGTACAATATCTCAAGCAAAATACATTTGTTCAAAACTTTCAGCTGTGTGCTACAAGAGTGAAGCAACGTCTCCTACGCAAAGTAAGGCCATTGTAAACTGAACAAGCCCTCGTTTTTTTGCAAAAAAAGCTAAAAGGCGGGTTTTGCCCACGCTGTCCTCCTTCTCTGAATAATACCTCTGTCCTTAGAAAAATAAAATACATATAATACTATATTTCGATATAGTGCACAAACTATGACTCAGGTATGTGTTATTAAGATGCGTTACACACAATACATTTTTTGGGTTAAAAAGATGCTTTTTTTATAGCAAGTTTGTGGGGTTTTACATTCTGAGCATTGGCAGCCTCTCCATTCAAATGTCACCTGAGCCGTGTCGACTTCATGCATCTGGACACCTTCACGTTGACAAAAAGAAAACGAAAACAGTCTACGCGTCACTCAGCTCCACAAAAGCACGAAGACTGGCAACCTGTTTGATCTCCGTCCCGTCATCCCTGCTGCTACTGAGGCTTCGACCCCCTTTTTTTGTTAATTGTGTGTCCAAATAAATCAAATGACCTTGTGTGAGACGATGCACAATGATCAGGTGACACTACAGTTTATATATAATTTTTTTTTTCTTTAAATGTAAGGTAAAGAGAAAGTTCAAAGTTAATGTTGGCGTTCATATCTGAAAACTCTGATCCACTCACACCTTGCTGCCCTGTCGCTCATTATGCATCACACTAACACACTAAATGCATCTCTCTAAAAGACATACACCCGCACTGCACTTTAAACAAAGGCAATATTTAAAACTTATCCTCTAGGTTGCAAGAATCAAAGGATTTGGGCAAGTTTTGGCTAATCCTGCCTTTCTTATAAGATATATAATACATTTCTTTGCATCTATTCAATCATTAGAATGGGTAATGCTTTGAGGATGATTGATATATAGCAAAGGGACACACATACACACGCAGTCTCATAAAAGCTCCAAAACACATTTTCAACAGTCTTTTGATAGTTTACCAAGGAGTGGAACAATCAGCAGGGAAGTTACACAGATCTATAAATTTCATTATCTTGTTTTTTGAGGATTCTTATTCCTTTTTTTCCATATTTGTATAACATGCCAGCTGTCCCAAGAAAACAAATCAATACATGAAATTACTTCCTAGGCGGGACCATACAAGTACAGATCCAGCAAAGGAATAGCTCCGAACCATAAAACAAATGACAACACCTCTTTAACAAAGAAAACATTTTGTATACATATGATAGGAGGATTAAAAATAAATATCATAAATCATCCTCCCAAAAATTCAAGAATGCCAGATATCCCTTTAGTTTATCCAAAGTTCAAAAAGCATTGAAATGTGAATTGTGTTGTTCTGAGGTGCTGCGAGATTAAAACAACCTCGCATTTTCCCTTTTTTTTGCAGAAAGATGAGGAGAGAGGAATAAATGAGGTGGTGATGAAAGCAAATTCAGAGCTCATAAACACGCAGAAGCTTTTAAGAGAGGAACTCGAGACTGTGTCTTTGCACCTCTTCAAAATATGATCTCTGTTAGCGCCTTTGCCCGTGTTCATGTATGAGAAATATATACAAGGATTGATGTTGTTCAGAAAAAAATAAAATAAACCCTCCCCCCCCAGACATCTGCACCTTAAATAAACCAGTAAGAAAGCAGTAGCTTAATTTGGATGCTAGTCCCTCTGCTGCCAGTGAAGACTCCATTATCATCACACCTTTAACTGTTTTGTTGATTTTTTCTGCATACACCCTTATAGTTAGTGCAAAGCGGACTCAGAGGAAATGTAAATGGGAAAAGGTGGCTGAACAAGGTTAAAAGCCTTCAAGAAGTCTAAATCCGGCAGCAGAAGTCACCTGGATCAGCTGTTCTAGTGCACTCCACTTACATTTCCATGCTGCAATTCAAAACAATTGCGCAGCGCAGTGTGACCAAATAAAAATGCAAACGAAAATAAAAAGAAGAAGCAGTCAACCGCTGCGTGCTCCGCGTGAATATTTTACAGTAAAGTGCTATTTAAAGAAAACGCAAACACGCCGCCTGACGGGAAATATAAAACGAGAGTGCTGGAAATGTGTCACTGCCACGTTTGCACCTGAAACAAGTAAAACCACCATATGGCAGGTACGCTAGTAAATGTAGTGCTGACATAATAGTCGGCTATCGCAAAGAAATTCAATTCACACTGACACATTTAAAAGAGGTTTCGTTAGCGTCAAAGGGAAAGTTAGGAGGGTTAAAGGTTTCACAAGCTGTGCGCATGTTAATGTTTCCGGTGTTGTCCCAAAAAGTCATTCCCGATGGTCCTGTGTGTTTTTTATGTATAATCTCTTTGCTTATATTGGTAAACAGACTACAGAGTCTATTGGATTTCTGAAGGGCTTATATACAAAATGAAGAAACTACCTGTTTTGAAAGCTTCTTATCATGATTGTGTATTATTTGCACCTACATTATAATCAATCCAGTCTCTTCTGGCTTTTCTAAAACATTTATGCTATATTTGTTGCAATTTCTGTTGCCCTCTTGGCTGGATTTCTATTACAATAAGACATTTATAATGTAAATGACACTTCTTAGCTAGATGAATAAAGGATTTATAAGAGTCACTTTGCCAAAAACTGAATGTATCTTGTGACAGGAATGTTGTTTGTGGCTCAAAAGGACTTGATATCATTCATGAGAAACAGGTTTGACATATGTTTCACAGATTATAGGCCATTTACAACAGTTTATTTTTTGGCACAACACCGGCTACATTTGATCGGAAAAGGAGAGGTGCAGAGGCACGCCGGCCATCTCCCCACATCCCTCATCAAGTAGGACGGGAAAAAAAATGGGGAACTCAACTGGAAGCTGGAACAAGTCCAGGTGCTGGTAGAGGCCCTTTCCCCAGAATACGCGAGGACGGGCTACAAAGCGGTCACATTTCTCCGAACGCCTAAGGTGAAGGCAGGGATCATAAATGTGTTTGTCCGCTGGCTGGCTTATTTTGTTCTCGTCTTCTGCAGATAGCGATGACAGCCAACCCCTTCGCTCCGCCATCACCACAGCCCTATCCTTCTCCCCAACTCAGTGCGGTGTGCTCCCTTCTCGGCACAAAATAAAGCAGCACTACACTGCTGTCACATTGGTCAAAGCAAGCTAAATGAAAAAGGTTTAAGCACTTTAAAATGTCTCGCAAGCAAACATGCAGAATGCAGCCGACACATATATATAAACACAAGTAAGTTTTTAACTATATATCTATTTTGATATATATATATATATCTATATATAAACTCTGCCCTGTGAAAATTATAGAATAGCAGTGTTGCTACCTCACATAATAGCCATTATGTGAATATCCGAGCCTGTTATCCAGGTATGTGTATGTGTTTGGCCTCCCGTGCCCAGCTTGTGTGCGTGCGCGTGCGTATCGTCATTTTTTTATTTTTTATTTTTTTTGGATTACATCTAAGTCATTGACTCTGCTACATATCCATATTTTATATTGTATACTAGTTCACCTACTACTTATAATAGTAATATTAACAACAATAACAATTGCTTTGGTTTAAAAAATAAAGTTTTTTTTTCTTAGTTTGGCATAGAGAGTTTAGAAACTGGCATCAGGATGTGCCCCGGGATGAGCTGTGCCACGGAAAATCTTGGACTGCAGAACACCCGGTGAATCCTGGTTTTCGTGGTATGAGATGTTGGAAACAGGTGGGTGGAAAAATGCTACATGTTCAGGTAAATTACGCCTTCTCCTGTTTTGGATCTGCTAATCGTTTTGCCAGTAAACACTGAGCGGTGGGTGAGAGTGTGAACGGACAGTCGAGAGGATATTCCAGTAAAGACTATGGCAGCATGTTGAGAGTGCATGTGTGTCAGTGTGGCTGGGATCAGGTATTTGTGTGTATGTCAAGTGTGTCTTCCTGCACGGATGCATCGCTTTGTGTATGTATGCCTACCTGGCTTTGCACTTACATAGTCGTCGTGTATATACAGTACGTGCGCCTGTGTGTGCGTGACTCTGCCTTGCGCGCGCGTGTGTGTGTGTATGTATTCTGGGTGTCTAGGTGCATGAAGGGCTGGTGGCGCTCTCCAGGGAGGACTGAGAGAGGCGTCGGGTGAGGGGTCCGATGCTGGGGTCTGCCAGGGAGGAGGTAGGGAACAGCTTATACCAGCCGCTGACTGTGGCAGACAGGTCCAAGTCCTCCAGGAGGATTTGGGCCATTCCCATGAAGCACTTGTGGTCCATACGCCCATAATCCCCCCACACTATTACCTGGAGAAGAAATGACAGCAATTTTTTTTTACTGCTTTCCAGTGCTGTGGAGACTTCTCAGCTACTGGCAGACCCCAAATCTATTTTTCATACAACAAATTTACTAACTCAATAATTATAAGTCCTATGAAGTTTTTGATTGGTGCATAAGAACTTTCAGTATCACCCAGTTTAAACCTGTGAGACCAGCAAAGACAGCGTAAAATCAATTATTTGGGGTGTTCGGGATCAAAAGAAAAATGCGTGAGACGTTTCATTTTTGGGTGATGAAGCTTAAAATGTTTGGCGGAAAATTGTAAAGGCTAGAAAAAGAGGATTACTTACCTGTAGGACTTTGCCCTGAGGACTCTCATCGAACAACAAAGCCTGCTGGTAGGTGGGGTCCAGAGTCTTCTTCACTACTTTGGTTTTCTTCTTAGCCAAGCACACGCCGTTCTCCAGAAGATACACCTTCACATAGGTTGCTGCAGAGGAAAAAAGAAAAAGTGAGCCTCATGCATGTGCTGCTAAGCCCACAGAATTGTAGCTTTCATCAAGAAGTGAGTACCTGGTATGTTCTTGGAGCCTGGTTTGGGGGTCAACCCTCTGGCCTGGTTGACCTCCACCTCTAGCTGCCCTCCTCTGTCTACCATGCCTACATTTACATCCCCTATAGATCAAAACAAACCAAAACTCAATATGACACCATAATAAAAAAAAATTTTTTTTTAAAAAACCCTGAAGTTTCAATGCAGCTGAGATCTCTGTGGTACTCAGCTAACAATTAAACGAGAGCCTGGACTGCAGCTGCAACAGACAATGTTCAGCAGCAGAGGGCCACATAGTGCTACAACGCCATCTTCACCACCAGATATAAAGGAGCGCACTGCTCTGGGTAGTTATTTTTTCAAAACCAGTAACCTTTGCATGAAAGATTTATAGCTCACGCAGGAATAACTTCATTCCTGCTGAGCGAATACACGATTACTGGGCAGTATTTCACGATGCTGTTGTGCATTTAAGTGGATGCATGCTGCAAAAAGTTTTAAACAGAAACCGGAGGTTCTGATTGATGATGTATTAACTGAATGATCTGACTGTGCTGGTGTGCGATATATTGTCCTGCTTATATGCCTCACATTTCAATCAAACGCTATCAAGTAGAAACAATTGATGACTTCTACTAGTTTTGTATGATAAAAACAGATGAGAATGGAGTGGACTGCACGGGACTAGATGGTGATGCTGGCCGACTTCACGCTTACCCATTGGGGGTGTAGCTAATGTTTGCCGGCCTACAATCTGAGCGGGGCCTAGTCCGTCCAGGAAGTCACTGAACTGGCTCTCAGGGCCCAGGCGTGTGGTAGGGAAGACAAACCTGCAAGAGGAGAAACAGACTCATGCTGGATGAACAGGTATTGTGTATATGGACAAGCGAACGGATACACTGTCGGACGGGACACGCACGTTCCATCGGAGCTGTTTGAGTTAGTGCTGCCGTCGGTTGAGTCCTTGCTGCCCTGCCGTGTCACTCGGTTTCTCATCTCGACGGCGATTCCGGTCTCCGTGCTTCGCCGGATGGTGCTGCGGAGCTTCTTTGTCCCGCCATCTGAAAGCAGAACACAGAGGTCATGTTCCCTTCTTTAAGTACCTTTATTTCAACAGGCTAATCCACTAAGTATAATAATCCAAGGATTATTAGAGCTGCCTGTTAAGGGCGCCAGGGGTTAACGGTGAAATTATGTGACCCTTATGAGAATTTAAGATACTTGGTAAAGCCAAGCAAAGTTTACACACATACACACTCAGTTGCACAAATTGCCTAAAAATGTCTGATGTTTCTCTTTAGTTATTTCTGAGTGTGTTTCTGTGTAAAATGTTTGCTTTTTCAAAGCTACCTACCACAAATAATCAAGAATTCAAGTTTGCCTAGAAAGCTCAGATTCCTGCACTCTTTATTATGAAGCGAGGCCACTCTAGCGAGAAGGCAATATCCACTGGGGTGTCCCTGCGCTACTGAAAAACAGCTCCACATCACAGGTATAACTACAGTCCATTTTAAATGCACAAAGCCCATTTTGCAATGGCTGTTGCAACTAGGGAGCAATAAGCCTTTAGCAGGACCTCCTGAGCCTCGGCTTGTAAGGCAGAAACACAAATTGGCAGCATGGGGAAGAGTAGTGGGTGGCAGGGCAAGGGGAGAGGTGAGAGGCTGAGCTCAGAAAGATGAGGAGATGAGAGGAGGAGAGGGGAGGGTTATCAAGGCTTTGCAAGTCCTGCTGACGTTAGGAGAATGAGAGCAAGCCAGAGAGTGCTAACCCCAGAAGAAGCTTTCAGGACATCATCCCCTGTAATGACACACTGTATCTCCGTGTGACTCGGCATGCTGAAATAGCAGCAGCAGGGCACAGATGAAGTGATTTGGGTTCAGGATATGAAGTGTAAGGTTGTGCAGCTCTTTCCTTCACTTTTATCACTCCACACCTCGGCCTCGATGTCATTCTTGTAGCATTAGCCATAGAGTTTTAGGTCAGTTTTATCAAAGAGTTGGCAAATGCCAACTCTTTGATATCGATGTTCACAACTGTAAATTCACACCTTTACACGGGTATGCAGCTTGCGCACTCACACCTCTGTGCAACATGTGCACAAAGTGTCTGCACGTGAACAGCCCGGGCCACACAGTGACAGTTTAGTCACACGGGAGGATGAGAAAGCAGCTGTGAGCTGTCATGTCAGCAAAGCTCACTTTAGAAAAACCTCCATAGTGGCTCTGACTAATTTCTGGGTCAACCCTATGAAAGGAGATTTTCTGGCCAAAAATATTTTTCAAAAACTTTCCAGTGGGGATTAAAAGCTTTCCTCTTCTTTGAGCTTGTTAATTATGATGCAAATGGCTGCTTATCAAAGCAATAACAAAGAGAAGTAATACATCACAGAGCGCCTTTACGACTACAGTGGTGGTTGCTGTAGAAACATGTATATCTGCCCTGTATAGGAGCCTGGATATATAGCAAAACAGCGCAGTGAAGGCACAGCAGACTTAACAAGTGGTTCCTTATCGCTGCCAGTTAAGCGAACACCCAGCCGTCCCACTTCATTAGCCCGAGCATCTCCAGTCTCATTAAGCATCCTTACCATGCCAGGCTCATTACCATGACAACCACAGACACCCTGCATCATCACCATCACTGTGGAGATAAACAGACAGCAAAACAGAGGCCCTTGATGGTAGTTTTGGGTGTTAAAATGATGATAATGACAGACGAGGACAGATCTATGTATCTCTCTATCAATCTGCTAGACCTTCTCTTGCTTTCACCTGAACAAATCTTAAAATGCTACAGGTTACTGAACAGAGCTCTTTTGTTCCAGCTGAAAATAAACTGTGGTGCATCCCATGTTAACAAAAATGCTGTCGATGTCTGCAACAATCTAAAAAGATGCATGTTAGGTTGAAGCGGACTAGCATAAACCTTTACCAAAAAAAATGCTGCATCTGTGGGGCTCTAAAGAAGAGAGAGGACGAGTGCTGAGGATAGATGGGTGAAAAGGAAGATGAGAATGATAGGGTCCCATGGGCACTGAAGATGAGGAGAGGGGTGCTGCCTTCTGGTACCTTCTATTTATAATCCTGCAGTAAAGAGTATTTCCAACAGCCTGTGTGTGTATGTGTGCGTATGTGTGTGTGCGCGTGTGTGTGTGTGCACGAGAGAGAGACACCGAGAGAGAAAGGGAAAGGTCTGTATGTGTTGTAGCATGACACCCAGACAAACTCCATGCACTCCTGCTGCCATGACAACCCCCGCCCTCAGATCTGGACCTCAGACAATGCCACCTGAGACAACTAGCGCCATAGCGACAGGCTCATCCGCTATTGCCTTTTATTTTATTTCATTAAAAAAAAAAAAAAGAATCGTAACTTGTACAGGAAATACTTGACTGTAACTTCTGCACTAACTTCCTCTCCAAAACTTTGTCCTCGCTCACAACCAAACCGCACAAGTCTGCTGAAGAGTGTGTTTAAATTTTAACACAAGTGCGACGACGCCTCTGTTACGATGAGTAGTTTCATGCACACAAGTGGGAGAACTCCAGTGTTAAACTATCGAGAAGCTATTCATTTAACTCCATTTCCATACTTGTTACTCGTTTGTCTACCGGCCCCTCCCCTCTCGTGAAAATAGCCCCCTACACAGTATGAGGCACTGATCTCTTCCTTCCTATTTAATCCCCTCCTCCTCCTCCTCCTCGTCTGCTCTTTCCCTCCATTCGTTTCCATGGCAATGCCTTCTGCATTGCACCAAGAGCCCCGGCCGGCATGTTCGCTCATAAGCCTTTCCCCCTTACTCATATTGTCCCCTCCACAAGTCCCACTCTTTGAATCGAGCCTCCACTGCTTTTCCACTTTCATATTCTCCTCTTATTGCTCCTCTTTCTCTCCAGCTTTTTGTCTGCTAGTTATCTTATGAACCCCTTCCTAACCAATTCCTTTTCTTCTTTTCTTATTGTATCTGCCTCATCTTATTTCCTGCTTCATAATCATTTTGGATGTATTTTCTCCCAACCTGCTGGTGAATTCAGTCTGTTATACTGTTAACATCAAAACACACAAAGCACACATCCCGGAAGAAGTAATTAGAGGTTGTCTGACATATATGCCATTTGAGCAGCTAAAACAAAAACATTGCATAAGCTGTTGTGCTTTATTGTGCTACAGTAGAGGGTTTTCAGTTTCTGTGTGTTACAAAAACAGTTAAAGTGTCTCCCGTTGGCTTCACTATGATGAGTAATACCCCGCCCCTGTAAACAACCTCATGAATCTCGCGGAAATGCGAAGCACGGGAATAAAAAACACTAAACTTTTTTTCTCAGCTGCTTATGCACATGTTATGTATCATGGTAGAGGAAAAAAATATAAGGGTGTAACACAAAAGTGTTAGGGTGGAAAGAACTAATAGGTTCAACGCTGAACACTATTAGGAAGGTGAGATTGCTTAAAAATGCCAACAATGCAGAAAAGAGCCACACACTGTGACTGCATGCACACTCACACATGACATATAGCTTCTTTGTGTGTGTGTGTGTGTGTGTGTGTGTGTGTGTGTGTGTGTGTGTGTGTGTGTGTGTGTGTGTGTGTGTGCTCAGTAGATCATTAAAACTGCTCTGACATTTGGAGAGCACACTGATGAAGCCATTCTCATTATATGCTGTAATATAGAATGCTGTTTTTAGACTCCCGGGTTACGCCGACATGCCTATTGGATGCACCGGTGACGGCAACGATCCACCATGCATAGCAACAGTAACCAAGCATGGGTGTTGGAGATGAAGGATATGTTGTGGTATATTTACTGCCAGACCCCAGCTAAATTTGGACTAAGGGAAGATTCAAAGTGGAAGCTTAAGTAAGACCAAGAGGTTATAGTGTACATATGAATCAGAGATTCAGAGCCATATTTACAGTTTACACAATTCATGTGTCATATGACACATTTGGAGCTATTCCTGTATTATGGAGTTTATTCAAAATGAGTCAAGCCAGTTAACAAACAGCAAATAAAAACTTAGATTAAGTTTAAAGGTTTTGTTGAACACCCCACAATGTAACCCTCTAGTTTTTACAAAATAATCAACAATCACTAGCGACCTCCTTTGCTTTACCTTAGGAAGCTAAAATCCTGAAAATTAAAACTCCTAATTAGCCTGGCATTATTGCACTATTTGTGACCACAGACTGTATATAAAAGATGGAACACTCAAAAAAATCACCCATTGGTTTTTTGACTACTGCTTTAACATCTCGAGTCTGGTGCTTTGGTCATTGCTGTCGTGGTTTAATAATGTCGAGAAGTGACAAGATCTGAATAAAACTGAAAACATTATCAGGTAATGCTGGTTATCTTGATTAGCAATGTGCGTCATATAAACTGATATACCCGCCAATTACTCACAACACAGAAAAAACACAATCCTAGAATTTCAAGTAACAGAAAAAGATGGATGATTAATACATTAAGTTCACAGCAAAACATATTATTAGTAACATCACTTTTTTTAAATAACCCAAAGCAATTTAATTAGTTAAGGTGCAATTTGGTAGACAGCTAGCACCAATTATATTATATTAGCATGCTTCTGATAAAGCATCAAGTCCTTACACAACACAAACTTCACAGCAGCTATTTTGATATGAAATAGTAGGTAAACACAGGTTTTTAGCGTATAATTAATTTGTTCTTGTTACAAAGGCAAAGGTTTAATGAGTGTGACAAAAGTATCATTGGATGTGTCTATTATTTTATGTCAAATTGGCTTAAAAAAGCAAACTAGCTAAACCGGTATAATTCAGCCACTGATGAATACATGGTGAAATTAGCTTAAAAGGCCCACACTGTTTAAAAAAATAAAAATAAAAAATAGGACAAACAAGCGTGGCAATCTTTAGAGAATGATTTCTGATGCTTTTAGAACCAATTTCAAACGGCTGTTGGAGGATCAGCAGTTTTTACTCCAGTTAGAAAAAAAATTGTCTAATAGTAGTTGGTTGACTGGCCAGTTTCACTCTGTGAAATGTAACCAAACCACATCTACACAGACGTAACATTT